TACAATGGATGGATGGATTGTGATAAGATTTGTATGAGCCCCCAATAAATAATTTTTAAATAAACAAAAAACACCTAAATTATACTAAATAAAAATTGTTAATTTTTTCCCTTGGATTTATGAAGCAAATTCAGAGCAGAATTGTACCAGAGTTCACAGAATGGAACTTAGAGGCTAGGTTCTATTCTAGATAACAATAATAACAAAAATTCCTGTGCCAATTCCACTCGATCCTATAAATATTCATTACGACACCCTAGAAGGAAGAAAGGGTAAGTACCTCAGCAGAGCCTGCGGTCTGAGGGAAGGTATTTTTAAATGGTGGTGTGCTGGGAACAAAAACTGGTACATTAGTCATGTGGTCATTTCAACAGCAGTCTATCAAAGCCACTATCTGAACGGAGTCAAACAATATTTCTCCAAGACATCGAGCTGACCCTCTCCAGTGCCCTCCTCTATTTATCTTCCGTTGTCTTCTTCCCTTCTTGTCCACTTTTTCTTTTACCCTCAATTTTCCTTCCTTCCTTTCAGACCCTAAACATTTTCTTCAAACAAAATCTTGCATGAAAGGCGAAATATTAAAACACAAAGGCGTAAAAGTGGAGCTCCTCTGAACAACGCAGGGAAGGGCATGGGGACTGATGACAAGGAGGGCACCAAAAAGAGGCCAGAGAAATGCTAGAGCGCCCCAAAGGACATCAGAGTACAATTTAAAGCTGTTGCTCTAGGGGTCGGGAGCAACAGAAATGTAAAACAATCTGTTCTTTCGTTTTGTTTTGTTTTTTATAACAACCTCTGTCCTTGAGGAGCTCTTATTCTAACCAGTAGACAAGCAGATAAATCCTGTCTGGCACAAACACAACTACAGTCAGCCACCTGTGAGATAAGAGTTGAAGGACACTAGAAATTAGTCGATCAGATGAGGATAGTAGGAAGACATTACCCTAGTAAGACATTGTGCTAAGGTCCTACAAACTTAAATGGACACAGGCAATAAATACTTAGTAGAGTATGAAACCATGGGGGCTGCATGTCTATGTAGATAAGATAGGCAGTATAAACAACCCGGGACAGGGAACAAGTGATCTAAAATCTATGGCAAGGAGGGAGTAGGATGCCTGGTGGTGCTTGATCAGGGCAATGTAGATGAGAGGAATGACTGAAACCTGAATGAAGGCCAAACATGACAGTGGGACAAGAGAAAAGTAAAAGGAACTAAGAGGAAAGAACTAGGAGACAAAGGACATGTATAGAGGTCTAAATACAGGCATGTAAAAATGAAAATATATTCATATATAATGATAGGGAAATAGAACTATGTGCATATACTTATGTTAAGTATTAAAGCAGAAGATGGACATTGGGCCTCTACTCAAGTGCTCTCTCAACACAAGAACACTTTGTTCTAATAA